ATTGCACTGGAAAATCTGCTGTTAGGGACCTCGTTACTGAAGAGCAATGATGTCAGTATTGAGACTAAGGTGTGCCTGATACAGGCCATGGCCTTCACAATTACTATGCATCAGAAAGCTGGACAATGACTAAGGATAATAGAAGGAGAACTGGTGCCTTTGAGTTGTGATGTTGGAGAAGAGTATTGAATATGCCATTGACAACAGTTTTTGTCATGGAGAGAGTAAAACCAGGCTGCTCCTTGGAGGCAAGGATTCTGAAGCTCCATCTGACACACTTTGGGCATGTTGCAAGGAGGGACCAGTCCTTTAAGAGGGACATCATGCTTGGAAGGATGGAGGGACAGGACAGTCCAAGACAGGAAGACCCTGGATGAGATGGATTGATTCCGTGATTCGGGTAATGGAAGTAGCTATGCCAGAGACAATAAGATTGGCACAGGATAGAGCAGGGTCAGAGCTGTTGTAAATAGGGTCGCTGTGAGTCCCAAGCAACTTGACAGCACATAAAACAAACAGCAGCAAAGACTTACCATCTGGTAACCAGGAGAAGTTTATATCTTCCTGTGGCCCACACATGGTAAGACCATTAGAGAACAGAACCTGAATGAAAACCAAATTCATGGCATATAGCTTTTACATTTGTTGTAGTTAATAGCCATCCTGTCAATCCAGATTCATGGTAACCTTACGAATAATAGCAGAACAAAATGTTGCCCAGTCCTGTGCCTTTTTCATGATCCTTAGTATGAGGCCACTTTTGTGTTAGTCTATCTCATTGAGGATTTCCCTTGTGTTCTCTAAACCTCTATACATCAAACCTGATGCATTTTTCTAGTGATTGATCTTTCCTGCTAAGTTGTTCCAGACAAGCAAGTACAAGTCTTCACATTATTCCTTCTAAGAATATTCTGATTGTACTTGTAAGACTGATTTATTTGTTTTAGCCAGCTACAGTATATTTACTATTCCTCACCAGCGCTACCTTTCCAAGGTGACTAAGTATATGAAAATTCGTAAACATACTTTTTTCCTTGGATTTTTCTCATAGTCTTATATTCTCCCAGGTATGCAATTAATCAGTCACTTAAAACTGAATTTTGCGATTTCTATTATGTTTATATTGGCAGGATAGGAAGCTGATGGAAAGGAGAACTGAATTGACTCCTTAAGTGTAGTTGTTAACTAAGCTGTGGATTCTTGTGTCTCCCCCACCAAATCCCCATTAATAAAACATGACTTTTCCAGTGGTGAATAATCTTACTTCCTTCTCCTCACACACACCTACTGCTCTAACCACTCTTCACTCCACATAGCTATAGTAAGTGTAAGGTGGTATCATGGTGCCATCTGCTGGTGTTCTGGAGAATTGTATGAACTAACCTCTGAAGCTTCCTCTGACATACTTTGGACATGTTATAAGGAGGGTCCTTGAAGAGGGGCAGCTCAAGAGAGGAAGATCCTCGATGAGATGGACGGATTCAGTGACTGGGATAATGGGGTGGTAGGTGTTTCAGAGACAATAAGATTGGCACAGGATAGAGCAGAGTTTAGGGCTCTTGTACATAGGGTTGCTATGAGTCATTGGCACATAACAAACAGAAACCTCTCGCACCTCATCTTGTTGGTGGACCTGGGACTCTAAATGGGTTTGTGTCTTGGCATCTAGATCCAGACTTGGAAGTGAGCAGTTGATGGCCAAAGGCGAAGAGAGAAGGGAAATAAAATTCCCAGTTCTGGGAAAAGCTTAGGTGGGAAGAAACAAGGAAGGATCCTTGAAGGCCGTATCTATTGGGACTAGTTTCAGAAAGAGTGAGCAAAAGAATGATCTGAAGAGTGACAAAAGAATTCCAGCAGAAAGAACTTGGAAAGAGACCCGGGAGCAAAGTAGGAGAAGGGAATTTTTTTTAAAAATAAAATTTTATTTTAATTGTGATTTTAATGAACGCTTACAGAGAAGTTAGATTTTCATTCATTCATTGTTGCACATTTTACCCCCTTGCCCTCTCCTCCTCCTCCTCCCCCAGTTCACTTTTTTTTTTTAAGTATTCATTCCTTTTTAAATAGAGTATCTGCGTTTAACTTTGGGGCAGGGGTATGCTTAACTGTGGCCTTTCAGAACCTTCTCCACAGGCATTTTCTCATTTCCTTACACCCCCCCCCTTTTTTCCTTTTGAATTTCCTCCATTTTTCTTCCTTAGCTTCATACTAAGACCTGTGTTAAATTCTTTTGCATATTCCCTCAGTTATCAGTTCTCACTTCCCCTTTCTCACCTTGCTTTCTCTTCCCTTCTTTCCTCCCAGCCTCCTTTCCTCTTTTCCCTTTCTCTTTAAGCTCTTATCCTTGCAATCCTAGGAAAACTCCCCTCTCTCTTTTGTTCTTCTACTTGAAAGCCAAAGTATAATTGTAATCACTGTGATAAACATAAGAGTGGTGCTTGAATCAGGTTTACGAAGAAAAAGGGGAAGGCAGGTGTCATGAAAATAGTCAGTGCCACCACCACTTGAAGTCAATGGAGGTGAGAAATCTCCTTCAGAATCACCATAGTTTTCAGTCCTAGTCAACTCCTGCAGAAATTTTCCCGAGTTTCCAGTTCTTCAAGATTTTGTCTGTTTCCATCACTGCCTAGTCCCCAATATTTAGGACAGTATCTGGCTCATCCAGAAGCTTCAACAGTATTTGGTGAATGAATAAATATATATTCTTGAGCACTAAGTGACTCTTGACATACTCTGCTTCACTACAGTTCTATTTTAAGTGTTGCAAGGATGCTAATTTTTTTATTGTAAAAAAAAGTGTCAAGATCCTTTGTCAGTTTGCTGTATTAAGGTAACCTGGGGTTGCTTTGAAGCTGAACCTTGTGCCATTGGCATGTCAAATGCCATAATGGTTATCCATGGTAGACAGTGTTTGGTGGAGCTCCCAGTTTGAGACAGGCTTGGAAGCTGGAGTGGCATCCACTTTGTAAACAACATGCCTCCGGAAACTCTATGAACTTTGAGAAATGATGATTGTTATGGAAAGGCTTTAGGCCTTTTGTTAATAGGGTTGTACTAAGTTGTGCTCACCTCTATGGCAATAAAAAACAATAACAAACAATTTAAGTACAACACTTGAGGCTGTTCCTACTTTTGGTTTTGGTTTTTTTTGTTTTGTGGGTTTTTTTTTTTTTATTCAAAACTACCAACTCCCAGACTTTTAGAAAATAACCTGTTGATAGGTTGTAGATTTTCTATATATCATTCCTTCATCCTAGTTAAAGATTTAAAGAGCTTCTCTCTACTATATACATATTTTTTTACATTGATTATATGTACATATGAAAAAGAAGTGGCGAGCTTTTACCTGTCTTTGCCTCGTGTTCCCCTCGCATCCTCCCCCAGAGCTAAGCTGGTTAAATATGGAGGAAAAAGAACAAATTTGGCAAGCTGAGTAAAAGTTAAGCATTTGGTAAAACATTTCCTTATGGTATTTTTTTCTTTTGCATAATCTAATAAACTCCCCCCCCCCCAAACTACTGACATCAGAGTTGGGAAAATAGTCACTATTGGGTAACAATGAGTTGAATCAACTCAAAAGCGATGGGTATTAACATAGTAACAATCACTGAGAGAATTTAATATTTTTAAGAACCATTCCATTACTTGTGGTCTATCTCAAAACTGGAGAGATGAGGCAGATCATTTATACTTTGTTGTTGTTGTTGTTATGTGCCGTCGAGTCGTTTCCGACTCATAGCGACCCTATGCACAACAGCCCTAAACCCTGCTCTATCCTGCGCCAACAGCACCACCTCTGACACACCCATCCCGATTACCCCAGTCACTGAATCGATCCATCTCATAGAGGGTCTTCCCCTCCTGCGCTGTCCCTCCACCCTCCCAAGCATGATGTCCCTCTCCAAGGACCCGTCCCTCCTGGCAACATGTCCAAAGTATGTCAGACGAAGCCCCAGAATCCTTGCCTCCAAGGAGTAGCTTGGTTTAATCCTCTCCAAGATGAATCTGTTTGTTTTCCTGGCAGTCCATGGTACATTCAGTACCCTTCTCCAGCACCACAGCTCAAAAGCATCCACTCTCCTTCTGTCCTCCCTAGTCATTGTCCAACTCTCTGATGCATAATAAGCGATTGCAAAGACCATGGCCTGTATCAGGCGCACCTTAGTCTCTATAGAGACACTGTTGCTCCTGAGTACCTTTGAGAGGTCCCTAACAGCAGACTTTCCCATCGCAATACGCTTTTTGATTTCCTGACTGCTGGTACCAAGAGTGTTGACTGTGGAGCCGAGCAAACTGAAGCTGTGAACAATCTCAATCTCTTCACATCATCCATCCTGACGCTGCCAATTGGTCCAGTGGCGAGAATCTTTATAGTATAAAATCCTTATAGTATAAAATATCCTCTCCTGATATTGTTCTTGTGTAAGATTTAGGACGTTGGGGTGGGAGAGAAAGATCACTGCACCTTCCAGTTCACAAACTTCAAGAGTTCCCAACATCTCACCAGGATCTTAAGGAAATGGGGCAAAGAGATGAGAATAAATAAGACCTGGCCTGGATTAAAGCGAGCAGGTGTGTCATATAAGCATTTGCAAACCTTGCTTAGCCCTGAAGCCAATCCCTCCCCTTCCATCCGCTTCAGGATGGACATCTCTCTGGCCGGGTTGGCTTTGGTATTCTCAGTCCTGGAAAGGGCTGGTTTTCTCTAGTGTGGCCAACTCCGCGCAATGTCAGATGCTGCAAGGTGTGTGTGTGTTGGGGGGGCGGGGGTGAAGATAATAAAAGGGCCTCAGAGAGCTCCTACGCGGAACTCTGGCGGTGCCTTAGGCTGACCTGGAATAAAAATGGGCAGCATCCCTGCACCTTAGTTTACTCTTCTGCAAAATGGGAATAATGAAGCCTCCCCAGAAGGATTGGCATGAGGCTTGGCGCTAGCGGTTCGTGCCCAGCTGGCAGCTCTTTTTCAGTGGTCACCTGTTGCCTTCCCTTTTGCTTGCTAGGTACCTCGGCATCACCAGGCCCCTCACTTACCCGGTGAGGCAGAGTGGACGGTGCATGGCCAAGATGGTGCTGGCCGTCTGGCTGCTTTCGGCCTCCATCACTCTGCCGCCGCTCTTCGGCTGGGCCCAGAACGTGAACGACAACAAAGTGTGCTTGATCAGCCAGGACTTCGGCTACACCATTTACTCTACCGCCGTGGCGTTCTACATCCCCATGTCGGTCATGCTCTTCATGTATTACCAGATCTACAAGGCGGCTAAGAAGAGCGCCGCCCGCCACCGGTTCCCAGGCTTCCCGCCGCGCGCGCTGGAGCCGGTGCTCGCCGTGCACCCGGGCGGCAGCGTGGTGCGCACGCACAGGGAGGCGGAGGACTGCGCCCACATCACGCGCCTGCTGCGCCAGGAGCGGAGGAACATCTCCATCTTCAAGCGCGAGCAGAAGGCCGCCACCACGCTGGGCATCATCGTGGGTGCTTTCACCGTCTGCTGGCTGCCCTTCTTCCTCCTGTCCACCGCCCGGCCCTTCATCTGCGGCACCGCCTGCAGCTGCATCCCACTGTGGGTGGAGAGGACTTTCCTGTGGCTGGGTTACGCGAACTCCCTGATTAACCCGTTCATCTACGCCTTCTTCAACCGCGACCTGAGGACCACCTACCGCAACTTGCTGAGGTGTAGATACCGCAACATCAACCGCAAGCTGTCGGCAGCTGGCATGCATGAGGCCCTCCGGCTTGCAGAAAGGCCCGAGCGCTCCGAGTTTCTGCTGTAAGGTTAGTAATCCCTGTGTCACCCTCTCTCCATCCATACACCCCCCCTTAGATGACCCTTATTCTTGAGGCCACCACAGAAATCGTCCTCACTCAATAGCTACTTAGTTTTCTACCAAACATGCCAAATTGGAGTTGAGAATAATACAGGTGCTAATCCTTGACCCTGGTACCATCCCCAAAAGATGCTTAACTGAATTAGAAGAGGGGATCGAGTTTATTTGCTTATGAATGGCATCCAATGTGACTGGCCACAAGGAAGGGCGAAGATCGTTTCCATTATTTTGCTCATAAATAACATTACTATTTTATTTCCCCATCTCTCTGATCCATGTCACATCGTCATTTTAATTGCTATTATTTTTCCATCCAGTAAAACTTTTTTGATGACTGCAGCCTTCATTGCTCAGTTTTTCTATTGAGGAAGGACGCAAAGGCATTTTCTCCAGCATGCAGTTAACACTCACACAGGCTAAAAAGAAGAGGCCTGGGAGAGCGGAGAGCCGGAGAATGGTGAGATGCAAGGATGGGATATAGTCAAGCAGCGGGAGCCTTCCCCGCAGTGCTGGCCCTCTCCCTCGGCACCTGCCTACTGTTAACGGTTGTGGAATTTGCGTAAGGGGAGGGGATCTTTGTTTGTGGGGTGCCATCGAGTCAATCCCAATCCATAGGGAATAATGCTCCAGGTGGAGTAGAACTGCCCCATTGAATTTCCAAGACTGCAGACCTTCAGGGAAGCCGCTGCCCTGGCTTTTCATTGAGAAGTTGGTGGGCTTAAACTGCTGACCTTTAGTTAGCAATCCAGGCACCTAAGCCACTGTGCCACAGGTGCTTTCTTAAGTTAGGGTGTCGGGATCTGAAAAAGGATAACAAAGGACTGATGGTGATAAACAGTTGGCAAGTTTCACATGTAACCCACTTGTTAATGAATTGGCCTTTGTCGGAATGGAAGGAAGCAATAGCAAAGTGTGGTCAGTGCGTCACAGGAAGATTTTGCTATGAAATCTTCAAGTGAAGATTGAGATAGGTGCGACATCTGCATGTTTAAAGGCTGAAGGGAATGAGAAAATGGAAGGTGCTGGAAGGAGGCCATATTAGTGTTGAGCACGACAGGAGGAGCCTGTAGAAAGGTAGAAACCAGTGAAGTAACGATCATTATAGCTGACTGGGAGCTGCCTGATAATTTTGCCCAATCCTTTCCCTTGACCTGGAGAATAAGAGGTCCTACCATCACCTGCTATGCATCAGAGAGCTGGACATTGACTAGGGATGATAGAAGAATTGATGCCTTTGAGTTGTGTGGTGTTGGAGAAAGCTATTGAATATACCACAGAGTGCTAAGAGAGAGAACAGGTTTGTCCTGGAGAGGGTTAAACCAGGCTGCTCCTTGAAGGCAAGGATTTTGAAGCTTCATCTGACATACTTTGGACATGTTGCAAGGAGGGAACAGTCCTTGGAGAGGGATGTCATGCTTAAAAGGGTGGAGGGACAGTGCAGGAGAGGAAGACCCTCAATGAGATGGATTTATTCAGTGACTGGAGTAATGGGGGTAGGTGTGTTGGAGACAATGAGATTGGCACAGGATAGGGCAGGGTTTAGGGCTGTTGTACACAGGGTTGCTATGAGTTGCAGGTGGCTTGATGGCACATAACAACAACAACAATCATTTGCTAGTAATATAACTTACTTTAGGTCCCACCTCACTTAAATCTTAATTGCTAGACTGCTTTCCATCATACCTCTGTCAGTTAATTGTACTGTGTTCGCTCCATGTTGCTGTGATGCTGGGCTCTGCCATTAGTATTTTAAATATCAAGAAGGTCACCCCTGGTGAGCGGGTTTCAGCAGAGCGTCCAGACTAAGACAGACTAGGAGTAAGGACTGGTGATTTACTTCTGAAAAATTAGCCAATGAAAGCCTTATGAATAGCAGCAGAGCATTGCCCGATATAATACCAGAATGTAAGACCCTAAGATTGGTCGGCACTCAAAATATGACTAGGGAAGAGCTGCTTCAAAGTCAAGTCCACTTCAGTGTCACAGGTAGAGTAAGCCTTCCTTTGCTGATGTGGTCCAGATCAAAATCAGAGGAAACAGCTACAAGCCTTCATTAATAGTTGGGACATAAAGTCTATGAAGTATGATTCTAGGAGAATTGGGAATTGTTAAAAATGAAATAGAATGCATAAGTCAGCTGAAATGGACAAGTGTTGGCCATTTTGAAGTAGACAAGCATATGATCTGCTATGCTGGGAATAACAAAGGAGGATAGTATTTCATTGTCAAAAAAGAACATTTCAAGATCATTCCTAATATATAATGCTGTCTGACAGAATAATACCCATAGGCATACAGGGAAGGTGTGTTAATACGACTTTTATTCACATATATGCACCAGCCCCTGTAACCAAAGGTGAAGACACTAAAGAATTCAGCCAACTTGTACAATCTGAAATTGATCAAATGTGCACTCAGGATGTATTGATAACTACTGGTGATTGAAATGTGAAAGTTTAAATAATGAAGAAGGATTGGTAGTTGGAAAAAATATAGCCTTAGTGATAGAAACAATGACGGCATTTTATAATTTTTTGTGGTAAGTTGACTGATTCATTGTAAAGACTATATTTAATAGCAGCTATCCATATGGACATCACCGAATAGAATACACAGGGATCATCAGAACAACTACAGCTATAGAAATAAGTGATGGGAAAACTCAGTATCACTGGTCAGAACAAGGCCAGCGATCAAATGTAGAAGAGCAGTCAAGTATGCAAGTTAAAGCTGAAGTGGAGGAAAATGAAAACAAGTTCACAAAAGCCAAAATATGTCCTTAAGTATATCCTGGCTGAAGTCAGAGATCATCTCAGCAACAGATTGAAGATCAGATGGGTTGGAGGATGCCATCAAGGACATCTTAGATGAAGAAAACAAAAGGTTATTTTAAAAAATAAAGACTAAAATAAATATTAGAGGAGACTGTGAAGCATGCCAAAGAACAAAAAAAGAAATCTAAGAAATGGTGGAGTAAGGGAACCGAACAGAAGATGTCACACGGCAGCTTGGAAAGATAACGCAGTGTTCAAATGAAATGTGCAAAGACCAGGAGCTAGAAAACCAAAAGGGTTTTCACACTTGGCATCTCTTAAACTGGAATTGCTAAGAAAGAAATTCAAGGCTCAATTTGCAATGTTGAAAGATTCTGTGAGAAAAATGTCTAATGACACGAAATAAATCAAAAGAAGTGGAAGGAATAAATCGAGCTGTTGCACCAAAACAAATGGATCAATCAGAAGGCAGCCTATGATGATAGTATTGAAATAAGACGTTCAGGCTGCACTAAAAGCTTTGGCGAAAAGCAAGACTCAATTTTCTTGATCAGACTAAAAAAATGCTTGCACTTGGGAATCTTACACAGGATACCTGAGTGAATAGAAGGAAAGGACTCTGAATACTTCCATACAACTTTTACTCACTACTCTAAATTATAATCTTTTCCATTTTCACAAGATTACAAATACTAATAATGCCAAAACAAATGTATTAATAATGTTGTTGTTATGTGCCATCAAGTCTCCTGTGACTCATAGAGATCCTATGTACAACAGCCCTCAACCCTGGTCTATCCCGTGCCAATCTTATTGTCTTCTACACACCTATCGCCGTTACCCCAGTCACTGAATCAGTCCATCTCATTGAGGGTCTTCCTCACTTGCGCTATCCCTCCACCTTCCCAAGCATGACATCCCTCCTCAAGGATTGGTCCCTCCTTGCAAAATGTCCAAAGTATGTGAGACGAAGCTTCAAAATCTTTGCCTCCAAAGAGCAGCCTGGTTTCCCCTTTCCAGAACGAACCTGTTTGTTCTCTTAGCAGTCCATGGTATATTCAACAGTCTTCTCCAACACCACAGCTCAAAGGCATCGATATTCTCCTTCTATCATCCCTAGTCATTGTCCAACTCTCTGCATAGCAAGTGATTGCAAAGACCATGACCTGTATCAGGCACACCTTAGTCTCTAGACTGACGTCATTGCTCTTAAGTACTCTGGAGAAGTCTCTGACAGCAGAGTTTCCCAGTGCAGTACCTCTTTTAATATCCTGGCTGCTGGTGCCAAAAGTGAAACCAAGCAAAACTAAAGCTGTAATGATATAGACAGGAATTACCTTCCCTCCTCTCCAACTCGATGCCTTTCTTTATGGATTTGTTTTGAATTGCCATAAATTGCTTTTAAGTATCATGCTTTGATGACTTCTGTTCCTTGACGTTGTAATGATAAGCAACACTTAACAGCTCCATTATAGAAAAATAAAAGAGTATAGATAAATTTTGTGAAGTGATTTTGAAGCAGCTCTTTCCTTCTCTCCCCCTTGGCCTTCCCTGGTGATGAAATTGTCCCTTTAAAGAGTCTCTTGTTATCTCTGTCTATTACAGCGATGCTTAGGGATGAGTAACCCTGGATTTCTACCCTGAGTTCTATCAGGGTTTATTGTTAAAGATTTGAAATTCATAGTGATTCTACACTTCCTGGTGGGAACCAGTGATTAAAATACAATGAACTCCAGTGGAAATTAGAGAGAATTAGAGAATTCTAATTAGAAGTTAGAGAGGATTCCCAGAAATTCCGAGTGTTTGTGAGGAGTATTCCTTTAAAGTCAGAAACAAACAAAATATTTCCTGCTTCATAGACAGCCCCCCTACCCTACCACATATGAACAGTGTTGTTTTCCTCGGCATTAAGTAGAACTTTATTTATTTTTTTTTTTAAATCATCAAGCAGCAACCCGAATAGCTTATTTGCTTATTGTGCTTCAGTGGCAGCCCTTTGCACTTTGTAATATCTCTAAGCAGTAGGGAGAGCAGGTGATTGCTCTTTTTGCCATTTCTAATTTTCTTTGTATGTGATAAATACATATTACACAAAATAAAGTCAGGCAGTTCCGAGTGGTATAGAAGACACAGTAACCTTAGAAGGAATTTTTAAGGCAGAAATCTTGATGG